AAGAGTGTATGACAGAAATTATCTTGTGATGACACTGTGAAGGTCTTCACATTCCTTTTAAGAAAATCTTGGGACCTCACAGACCATTCCTTGCACTTTTCCACAGACTTATCATATCCTTGGACTTGCCACTCTAGAAATTCTCTTGAAATGAATGACTAATTGATAAAAAGTTCTCAGGAGGCTTTTATGTGATGAAGACTTTGCTCCCTCTCTTTCTTACATTCTCCATACACTCAAAGAAAATGAAGAGTGTCAAAAAATCTGGTGCACATAGGGACTACATTAAAAAGGTAACTCCCTGCTGTGGGAAGGTCCACATATGAAGAACTCCCTTTAGATATGAACCTACAGAGAGCACCTTTTACTGAAAGGAAAATTAAGTTTTACTACAACACTACTAAGAGTATGAAAACTATTCTCTGTAAAATGAAGGTATGAATAAAACAGTCCCTTTTCCACTGGCATGTCACTTAATAGTATCACTACAGAAAAGACAATTTTATCTTACAGGTAACATGTCTTCAGAATTCCTAACTATTCCATACATATAAGCATCCTGTGGACTTTGTTTTACACTATGTAACAGAAACAGAGGAAGTGAAAATTTTGTCTTTTTATAAGGTTATTTATGCAATTTATAGGACGCAGAAATTCTAAATTTACATTAAAATAGTTACAAAATTATGACAACTACTCCCCACATTTCAGACATCTGCTCAAAGATGTAGAAAACAAAGTGTCATTTTTCCTAAATCAGGTAATGTGTAGGTGGAGTTTGTAGGATTGGCAAGATGGAAGAAGGAAGCAGTTAGCCACTTCTGCAAAGCTGCAAGACATAGACCATCCTTCTCACCTGGCTACATGTACAGGAGTTTAACACTGTCTAGGGCTCTAGTCCAAGAATGACAGGGAGCTGGGAAGGGAAGAAGTACCTTCCTGAAATCTGGCCAATGACCAGAGTGGAAAGAAGACTCCAGTCATCACCAGGCAGAGAGAAAAGCCTCTTTTTTAACCAATTAACTTGGAGAACCTCTATGGAAGAAGAGTTTTCTTACTTATCGGAACAGTACCACATCAATGGATTTTTTGTTTCACTAGTTTTTGAGCTAAATCTCTGTCTTTCCTTCCTCCTGCCTGGTTCTTGCACGTGCAATTCTTTCAACAAAATCTCCGTTACTCATGACTGAAAATTCTGAGACTTTACCTCAGGAAGAGCTATTTTTAGGATGGCTGATTGGGGGCTCTCTTCCCCTCCTCCAAAATACATGAATAATTGGTCTTGGGGAAAATGGTTCAAAGATAGTAACAGGAGATGCTGTTTTAAAGGTGAAAAATACTGGTGGCACATGACATGAGAAAGCCAGTCTCAATCTAAGAACCAATGTGTGGCATAAACTTTGCAGGTGTGAGTATTAATAGGTGAGCTTCTGTCAAAAAAAGCCCTAGCCTGACTATCTGTCATCCAGAATTCATGACTTTTACTGCTACAGTAAGCAGGAATTTATAAAAACTGAATTCAAAGTCCCAGAAAATGTGCTCTCAACCACTGAGTTCTGAAAATAGGCTCCTTGAAAATAGTTTTAGTCCACAGTAACACCTGGAAATATCAAATCTAAGTAACACAGAATATAATGAAATTACACATTAAAGCACGAAACCCAGAAATAGAATGGCTTCTGTTAAAAGGTTCTTTCAAAAAAAACCCCAACAAACTAGCCTTTGTCATACAGTCATAGTCCTTTGATGTCAATGGTACAGCAACATTTTGGAAGACCATCAGAGGTATTGTACCTTCTAGAGTACCTTTGACTTTAAAGGGTGTCATAATTAACTACATTTAGTCAAGGAGTATGACGTATTTTCAATTTGAGAAGAGTAACTGGAACACATTTATCTGATTCTTGAATAGCTACTAAGTAGTAGTCAACCTCATGTAAACCAGTAAAAGCAACTGAAAGCTTATTTCTCCTTTCAGTTTATCTATCTATAATCCACCTCCAAACAAAATAGAGGTAAGTTCATTAATTCTGAAAGCTTATTTCCTAAAAATTAACAGAATTTCATTCCTAAAAATACAATGAAAACTTAATATATTGTATTTGTATTTTATGCTAAAAAAGAGAAGGGTATGGGGATTTCTTTTGTTCATTTAAGACATCACACGAGTGCTCTGGATCCTTTAAATCCTCTTCACTGATACTCCATTGCCATTAACTTCTGAAAGGTCAGTGTCAGTAAACTGTAATTGGATGCTCAAAAGAAATCCAATAAACCTAATGTATGCTTTTTTGGCACCTGGTTGGGTTCTTTTTAAATAAATACAGGAATAGAATGAAAGCAAAAAACCCAGCAAAGCAGTATTTACTGCTTAGCATAGTTCTAGCAAAATCCATTATGGCACAGAAAGTACAACATGAACATTCCTACTTATTCTAACAATAAGCTTCGATTTCCAGAAGGAACCACAGGAGAAAAAAATCCCAAGCCACAAAATACATCTGGATGTTTAAAGGCAAAGGATATAGCAGGGGATCTCAAATCCCTCCTTATTAAGTAGAAGTCTTGCTGTTAAATAAAGAAGGTCTGAATAGTTAGTGTAAGATTCCAATCTCTGCCTCTGAACACTGGACCCTTGCCTGGTTACTGACTCCAGCTTGCATTTAGTCCTTTGTAGCCAGCAAGTAATACTTGATCTAGCTTTCCATACTTAAAGAAAGGAAACGAGTGAACAGACTACTCCATACTATATTATTTCTATATCATGTTTTAAACTAAAAACTGCATTAAAGCTTTCCTTCTCAATGGACTAATCCATATATATAAATGATGTAACTTCACCCAAATGATCAATCCCACTAACTGAAAGCTTAATTGTTTAAAGTACTGGCTATAGTTTTATCCTGTAAATCTGACACTCAGACATAATGAATTCTCAAAGCCTTTATATATGTACATATATACGTGTGTGTATATATATATTATATGTATGTATAAAGAGCCAGATTAAAACAATGGCTTGGCTTTCATTCTTGTTCCATTCTTGGAATAATGTAATCCACTGGTACACACTGGTATAATTTTGACATTACCACCTTGGCTGTGAAGATTGGGGAAATGGAAAAGAAACAGTTTCATCATTTTGTTTTTGTTTGGGTTTGGGGTTGTTTTTCCCCACAGAAAAAAACAGTACGAACTGAGCCCTGTGGGTTTGTGGGTTGTTATTTGCATAATTCCCTGTGGGGAAGTACATGACCAGGGAAGCTAGTGGGGAAGCTGTGACCAGGGACTAATTAGTATCTAAATTCTGCCACAGACAGAAATGGCAGGGGCTTAGAAGAAATAAAGCCAGAACATGTGACCTGTTCTTCACTAAGCTGCCAACAAAGCAGGAAATGAAAATCCATTGATTACTGAACTATGAAATAACAGCACATATTTCAGACTGCAGATGCTATTTCACTTTTATTATACACAGTCCCATAAGCATCACAGATTTTTAAGCAAATATATGTTAAAACTGAATTAACTTTTTCAGAAGGAAGGAAATGTAGCACAAGTAAGTTCTCCTTTAGGTGTCAAAGCTGGAGTTCAGATGCCAGGCAGAAACATAACATACATCATATGACTGGCATTTTTTGGATCTCTCTGAAAACATCTATTTGATGTATTTTAACTGCATCCTTGCCTGAGAGGAGGTATCAGGTCTCCTTCACAGGTTGCTCTTCAGGGCTAACAGCAGTAAAGCATGAGCACTGGTATGGACAGATTACAGACCCCATCCGTGATCAAGCAATAGGCAACTACAACAGCAGCTGGCTTTTTTGCTATTAGCAATGAATGGAAAGGGATGATTCTTCCTTTGGGCTTGTTTCCACATAGAGGGAGAGAAGAAAAAAGCATCTCTGCAAGGCTCCTGATGTTCCCTGCTAAAATGGTTCAAATGGATCTTAGTTTCCTGTGAACATCACTGTTCCCTGCAGAGCCCTGTCAGCATGCTCTTGTATACAGTTAGGTAGATAAACATGCACACATGCACAGACACATACACAATTGCTTCTATTTCTACTAAAGCACGGTAAAAAAAGCTCTATTTTTATGGTTGCAGGTCTATTTCTTGTAAACTGTCTCTATGAAGGTTTCAACAAGAAACAGTCAGGTTTCCTCTAGAAAAACTCCTGACAGGAGCATCATTGTGTATTGAGCAGAAATTGAAACTAGTCAACATAAAAAAAAAAAAGACAAAACAAAAACCCAGAAGAAGGTGGAGGTCAGGACCAGAATAAAATAGCTTTGGATATTGTTTTTACCTACTCTTCAGTATTACTTGCAATGAAACCAAGTGAAAATGCAACATTTTCACTTAAAAGTGTGATTTTCAAACTGATTGTATTACTAAATTTTTCTGTGAATTCTGTATTGTAAACGAAACTAAGGAAATCTCTGAGACAGCTCCCAAAACTGGCAACAAATCATGTATTTGTTTGTAACTGAATACTGAGTTAATGTAATTTGGTAACATACTTAAATTGCTGCCTAATCATAAGCCAAAGACTGGAACAAGCAGTCCTCCTATCTGTTCAACTTGAATGTGAAGGTACCTACTTGTTGGGATGAAGTTTGAGAGTTCTGATTTCTTTTGAAGGCACGGCAATTTCATTCAAATCAGTGAAGTCTTCATCAAACCCACAAAAACTCACCATTTTTCTACCACTTTACTTTATACAGAATTGCTGCTCTTAATTGTATCAACATGTTTACCAAATAAACATGGTCTATGTTTATTAAACTATGCTTATTAAACATGGTCTATGCTATTAAACATGATTTTTTACCTAAAAAAGGAGGACATTTCCTAAGTTTCTTTCCTTACCCAGGCTCTTCAACACTAAGTGTACAGAGCAGTAATTTCTTACACCCATTGCTAAAACTGTTACAGCTGCTTGTCATGCTCTTGTCAGTAGGTTGAAAATACCTATATCCGTACTGGAGTATTTTGGATATTTTTGAGAAAACAAACAAAATCCTAGTAACTCACTTGCAGTTTTATGCTGTTAGCAGATGCGCTCTTTATCAATAGTACTAAATTTTGAAACAGGATAAACACTGTCTTTATCCACATAAGTCAGACAAAAAATAAAACATCTAATGCAAAATATGAGCAGCAAAGTAGAAACAGACTCTGCAACTATTCAGAACCTTTTATTCCATTAAGTTCCATTCCATTCTAATGCTTTACTTAACCACTTTTTAGGTATATTCTTTAACAACATCACTTACCTTCACACTTCTGAGTTGCGTCATTCTGCTTGTGACCAGCAGGACACTTGCACTCATACGAACCTACTGTATTAATGCAGTTTCCTCCTTGGCAGACTCCAGGAATAGCCTGGCATTCATCAACGTCTACAAAGACAAAAAAGAATGAATTTTGCTGATAGACAGAGAGCTCTGAAATTATTCTTAAAAATAACTAGAACAAACCCCAGCACTAATATAAGATACCGCAATAACAGCAGTAACATGACCCAAACCTCCATGTGTGTTGTATTTGATTCCATATAAGCTTGAATTGTACTACATGCAGAGATCAATTTAATACCATTTTCTGTTTCTGGATTATAATTAGGTATGGAATTCAATTATAGAGTTAAAGCAATACACTGCCTATTAAAATAAAACCACAATTTTATTTCATTCCTTTCTCTATTATGATTAAAATACCTATTTAAGAAAGGTACTTTTCCCTGAGATTTTTCATTACTGCCAAATAAACAAATAATATTAACCATTACCTTATTTTCCATTTCCAGAAATGGAAAATGTCCTGTTAGCTTGCATGCAATATTGAATGAAGCAGCTGGTAAACTTTATTTAACATGCAGAAGAAATCACCTCTTTCCTCTTCACATTCATGTTCGTTTTCTTTATGTCATTTTCTTTATGTCATTTTCTTTATGTCATTTTCTTTATGTCTACTTTTTCCCACAGCCAACTCTTTGCCACTCAGAGAACAGCAAGATACAGATGGGGTAGGACAACCATATTATTAGTAGAAAAAAGTACTCCTTTTCAGGACGATGTTCATTATCTCAAAGCCCTTACAAGACACTGAAATTCCACCCAAGTTTGTGGATTATAGTACTTCATCAGTTTTTGTTACTCCTAGTGTTTGTGCTATAGATAAAACCTATGATATATGCCTTGTCCACCCACCTGCTTTTTCAGTTAAGCAGGTATAATTGCTTGTAGGCCAGGAAGAAGGTGAAATTTTATATTTATTTTTTTTTGTTTTAACTGCTGGACATCGGCTTAAGTACATTTGCTGGAGAAGTTTGCATTTAGTTCATGAATCTGTGATGATTTAATTAGCACAATACTGTGTCCAACAGATTGGAAATGGATTAAGGACTCAGCAGCATAAACTTTCTGCAAGCTTTGTTTTTTAAGGAAGTTGAACGTGATTTAGCAATATTAGACAGAAAATGGGTTACATCATTTATTCACACCTAACCCACACAGTAGTTCCCTTCTGAGTAAAAGTAATATGGCGTTTGGCTTTTGACCCTTGGGCCTCTAACTGCATTCATTATCTTCAGTATGCCAGTGACTTGTGTCATTTATTAATGCTTATTTAAATTAAGCCAACTGTGTCAACAGATCAGTGGTTAAAAACGACCACTGTGTATCTTTCACAGTTCTGTAAGTCACAGATGTCAAGTACCAGTAAACGGCACTAGCAGGAGTACCAGGAAATGAGTACTTCCCCAAACCAGAAAAGTATCACTGAAGTTTTGAAGTAAATAGAAGTTTAAGATCTACTTATTCCATTAATTTCTTTCAATTCCAATCCTGTGGTTTTAAAAGGACAAATAAATGCAACCTCTGTTGAAGTCTGAAAAGCTGATCCCAAGCACAGTGCTTGTCCAGTGAAGAAAGCACAAATGGTATCACTATGCAAGGTGAGATCCAACAGATCTTTGAATCACATACACTACCTTGCTTTCCTCTGCTAACATCAATCTTAATTTGTGAGGGATTACATGTTAACTATTGTATGTCCTATTCAAATGTAAAGATAGTAAGTATATTCAACTTCAATGTTAGCTTAAAAACATATATAAACAGTACAAGCCTGATGCCTTTTTTTCTTGTAATTATCACCTTTTGATGAAAAACGAAGTTTGTTGTAATAGCACAGAATCACTGGTTTGGGTTGGAAAGAACCTTAAGATCATCTAGTTCCAACCCCACTGCCATGAGCAGGGACACCACACACTAAACCATGTCGCCAAGGCTCTGTCCAACCTGGCTTTGAACACTGCCAGGGATTGAGCATTCACAAAGAAAGAATGTGATAGTCTACTTTGTGTGATGGGAAGTTTCAACAGCCATCATTTTTGCTACATTTTTGATATTCTATTACTACATAGGAAGATCTGATTCTATTTATGTCTTCAGGAGTTAGCACGGGGTGATGGTAAGGCACAAACAGATGATAGAAAGTTAGATTTTCTGTGTGGAAAAGGAGAGATGAGGAATTTCTTTGTTCGAAAAAATCATTGCCATTCAACAGTCAAGACAGTCTCTTTTAAGCTCTCAGTGCTGGTAATTCCTCCCACCCTAAGTTCTGTGGTGTTTGCGGGTGATAGTGTTTTGTCTACTCTCCTGAATTATCAGACCACTCTACTGGAGGAAGGGACTGGATGTATCACTCGATGCTGTAGACACAGTTTACCTTTCCAAACTCTGCATTATGGTACATAGCCTGTAGAAATAAGCTGCAGGATTTCTCTACAGCTACATATGAACATTTTAGAAAAAAGCGGTACAGCAGTGTTGTTCACAGGGGGTTAAAAAAACCTCCAACAGTCAGCTAAAGTAGAAACTCTAGGAGGGACACAGGCGGTATGCTGAAGAGACAAATTTGGACTTAGATTCTTGTTACTACACTGCAATACTGCAAGGAAATATAATCAAGACTTAAAATTCCTGTGCCAAACTCATCCTGGCAGAGAAAGGTGGGGAGTTTGATCCAAATAGAAGGAGTAAAGAATGGAAGATCTGCGAGTTGTGCATAGATAGAAGCTGCAATAGCAGGTATGACTGCATGGACGTGAACTGTGAAGAGGAGAATAAAAGGGTCAAGATGGAGCTATGGAAGGGGGGGTGTGCTGCAAAAGTTTAAAAAAGAGGGGAGTATCAGCAATTCAGGAAATAATTGTTCTCTAAGCGTGGTAACTCCTATCTGAAAGGTCAGATAAAGACTGTCATTAAATATTTTCTCTGTGGGTTTTAGAAACAAATACAGTGATCTGGGTAATGTTTTTCAATGCTTTTCTTTCTGCGGATGACATCAGATTTACAGAGACTTCTATTAAATGAACACAAACCCCCTCGTTATTCAGTAAAACTGTAATTTTGTCACATATTGATTAGACTAGAATCACTCAGTCCGTAGTTTGAATACTTGGCATTTTTTAAGTGAGTGCTTACATCAGCAGATAGTCTAGTTCAGGAATTGATATGGACATGTCAGAATCAGTACAGCTTGCAAGCCATACTATCGGAATACAGGTTATAGTTTCAATATGCATTACTTATCGAAGAGGATGACAAAATTTGACTTCTGAGTATGAAGTTTCTCCTGCTTTTCACAGGATGCCCATGTTGCAATCTTAGTATATCTTAAATGGCTCTTTAGCACATTTTCAAGATTAATAATATTCTCTGAGTAACGTGCTTGTGTAGAACATTATCGTGGTGGTGTTATTTCATTTTTGCCATGAACACCTTTCTAAAAATTAAAAAAGCAAAACCAATCAAAATTAATCCTTTAAATTAATCCTTTTTTGGTTTTTGTTTCTTCTCCCTCCTCCCCCCAGCAATTTCTGTTCAGTCATTTCTTGAACAGAAATTATAGCTATTCAATTTGAGAGAAAATTTCTACCTCGGTCATAGTTATTACTACCATTGTCAATAAAAAGTGCATTCTCCAAAATCTGTGTATAAAATCTGAGCGGATTTATTTTTCCTGAGCTTTTTGGTTCTGCAGAGTTCACTCATCAGAAAGGGAAGCTGAATTTGGCTGTGTTTTCAAAAGTACATGTTTAAAGTTAGTTGTGCATATCCCACAGGCATTTTGCAGAGAAAACTGGAAAAGTTAAGAACCTTTTTTCACTTGCCGAATATTATCAAACCTATGGACACATGGAAACTTTCTACCTAACCTGTAGCATATTGAACATCTGTATACAGAAATATATCTAAAGAAATATTAATCTAATTTTCTGTTTATGGCAAAAAGTTTATTGTGTTACTGTGCTTGGGGTTTAAAAACACAAGTAAATGGATAGTTAATAATGCTAAAATTCCTCTGTGGTTAGCCTGACTGTCAAAGGTACAACCAAGTAAATAAATATATCCTTAATTTCAGATTTCTTATATTTACAGAAAAAATATTCTCGTATCTTAAAATGGCATTTAGGAAGCAATTCATACAATATGCCCTTTTAAGAAAATACTTCTCTCCTTTCTGAGTTTCAAAACAGTAATGGGCACATGAAAAAAAAGCGAGGTGGTTGGTGTCAGCCAGCGTGGCTTCACTAAGGGGAAATCCTGCCTGACCAATTTGGTGGCATTCTATGATGGGGCTACGGGACTGATGGACAGGGGCAGAGCAATTGAGGTCATTACCTGGACGTGTGCAAAGTGTTCGACACTGTCCCACA